ATCTGGACAGGTTGTATCACCCCTCTATAAGCTATCAATCACCTCTGCTTCCTTATAGTTCTATATTGTGTGTGTGAGTGTTTGAATATTGTTTGTATGCTTGAGAATGTTTAGTAAAGAAATCATTATTTTAGCCACCCCAGTTTCTGTGTCTGTTCCTGGGTTCTTGGGAATTCTAACTCTGGTATACACAGGTCAGATCCTATAGATAAGCCAATTGCATATTAATAATTATTTCCCCATCTTTATTAAATAATAGAGCAATTTGGCTAACACGGGGTCATCTAGTCCAACCCCCATGCACAATGCAACAGAGGCTTTTCTCCGAGTGTCACCACATTCAGAGGGTGGCTCCAGAGAGAGGGCCTTCCCAGAGGTGCTTTCCTGCTTGCTGGAACTCCTTGCGTAAAGACTTCTGCCAGGCTTCCTGTCTGGCTATCTCTTATAGGCCGGCTAATGCTGGCGGGAGAATGACGGCAGAGGAGGAGCTGCTGATAAATGCGCTTTCTTTATAGGTCTAGACAATTTATGACACAACGTTAGGGAACGGTGGGTTTCCCTGCCTCCGCTGGTGCATGAGAGCATTTCCGCTGCATGTTTGACCTTTGAGTCTTGCTTATACTTTCAGGCTTGAGATCGTCACTGGGTTAGGGGTCAGGACATTTCCCATGTTAGACTGTCTGGAGATGCAAGGGACAGGTGCTGACTTTCCCTTGTGGACTTTGTCCAAGCTTGCCGCTTCCTGTGTCACTGGGGTGTGTCTTATTAGCCACTCGCAATGGAATCTGATGCTTGTGACATCCAGAGGTGCAGGTGGGCCCGTTTCTTCCATGAGAACGAACAGATTTCACCAGCCCAGGTATCCTAAAGACACCTGATTGGGGGATGGACCTCAGCGGTGTACAGTGCCTAGAGACTGATTCCCCACTCCTCCTCCACGTGAAGCCTGCTGGGTGATCTTGGGCTAGTCACAGTTCTTTCAGAGCTCTCTCAGCCCCGCCTGCCTCACAAGGTGCCTGTTGTGGGGAGCGGAAGGGAAGGCGGTCCTATGCCGTTTTGAGACCCCTTGAGGTAGAGAAAAGGGGGATATAAAAACCTTTACTTCTTCTACTCATGTATAAGGGTGAATTCTGATCACGGGGCACTTTGGAGAGCCATTCTGGCTGAAAAGGGGGATCTCAGTGTAATAAAAGGAACTTGTGGGGCCTGGAGATGTTCAGGAATTACAACTGATCTCCAGGCAACAGAGATAAACCCCACTGGAGAAAATAACTGCTTTGGAGGGTGGATTGTATGGCCTTATACCCTGCTGAGGTCCCTCCCATCCCCTCCCTAAACCCTGCCTTCCCCTGGGTCTATCCCCCAAATCTCCAGGAATTTCCCAACCTGGTAGGGTTGCCAGGTCCTACCTCCAATCCATTGGGGGACTCCCGGGTCTTCGTTGGGATCTTTGCGGGGCACAGTGACATCACCTGGAAGTGATGTCATCGTGTTGCTGCCGTCAGGGAGCGAAGCTGTAGTTTTTGGACAAAACTATATATTTTTTTGTCCTCAAAACCATAGAGTTTGCTAAAAAACTAGAGCGTCCCCTCCCCGACATTGGCAATGTGATGGCATCACTACTGGGTGACATCATGGTGCCAGTGGCGATGCTGCGGTAGGAGGCTGTTTGGGGGTGGGGCTTCCCAAATCAGGGGAATCCCTGCCCCAACGAGAGGGATGGCAACCCTACAACCCGGGGTCGGCAACCCTAGGGGGGGAATCAAGTGAAACGTTTCCCATTGCTGCTTCTCCATGCTGGGGGACAGGTTCGGGGCCTGTGTTTGGGTGGGGGCCGTGGGGCAACCCTGTTTGAAAAGGCCCTGTGTTTGATTTTCACAGGGAATGCTACAAATTGCTAAGCTGCATGGGAAAGGGGAGGAGGGAATCTTAAAGCTGGGTTGGTTCATAAAGAGTTTAATAAATGTGCAAGCAGGTTTTGGTTTTTTTTAAATTAAGAGCATAGGAACACAGGAAGCTACATTGGTCTATCCGGGTCAGTGCAATCTACTTTGGCAGCTGCACTCCAGAATCTGAGGTGGGAATAATTCACATTGTCACCTACTACTTGCGTTGCCAGGTCCTTCCTGGCCACCAGCCCGGGGGGCAGGGTTGCCAGCTCCAGCTCGGGAAATTCCTGGAGATCTGGGGATGCAGCCTGGGGAGGACAGGGACCTCAGTGGGGTAAGGTAAAGGTAAAGGTTTCCCTTACTCGAAAGCCAGTTGAATCCAACTCTAGGGTTGCGGTGCTCATCTCCGTTTCCAAGCCGAAGAGCCAGCGCTGTCCGAAGACGTTTCCGTGGTCATGTGGCCGGCATGACTTAACACCGAGATGCACAAAATGCCGTTACCTTCCCACCGAAGCGGTAACTATTTATGTACTTGCAATTATTTGCTTTCGAACTGCTCAGTTGGCAGGAGCTGGGACTAGAGACGGGAGCTCACTCCGTCATGCGGCACACTCGGGTCTCGAACTGCTGAACTACCGACCTTCCAAAGCATCCATTTTTCTCCAGTGGAACTGATTTCTGTAGTCTGGAGATGAGCTGAAATTCCGGGGGATCCCCAGGTCCCACCTGGAGGCTGGCATTCCTACCTACTACCCAACTATCTTTAACTGGAGACGCCAAGGGTTGAATGTGGGGCTCTCACGCACTGTGGATGCTTGACTATGAACCAGGGGCGCTCCCTATGGAACCTGAACATATGAAGCTATGTGATAGTGAGTGAGACTCATGGGTTATCCAGGTTGTCCTCAGGTCTTTCGCATCCCCTACTGCCTAAACAAGGATGATAGAAAGCTGGTAGGTGGCACAGAGTACCAATAAGAAAGTGGCCCAAATTGAGCAAGATTTTAAATATTTGGCCGCCAAACTATTAGGAGAAGAATTTTATTCTTTGGTTGAAAAAAACAAACAGAGGGACTGTGATATATGTTAAAAAGGAATTGGAACCTAAAGATGTCTTCAAAGATAAAGAAGGGAGATATATTGCAGTTGAAATTAATATGCATCAAAAGAAAACTCTAATTGTAAATATTTATGCTTTGAATGGAGCAAAAGAGAAATTTTTTGAAGATTTGACTCAAGAACTGGATCAGGTAACTTATGAACAAATTGTCTTACTGGGAGACTTTAATGGTACAGTTAACAATAAAATGGACAGAAAATCGAAGAAGTCAGATGAAAAGATAGGAAAATTACCAAAAGTTTTTTTTAAGTTGGCAAAGCAAGAGAACTTGGAAGATGTGTGGAGGAAATGGAATCCTACAGCCAAAGACTTTACATTTTATTCAAACAGACATGATTCCTTTTCAAGGATAGACATGATATGGGCGACTGGAGATCTAGCATTAAAAACACAAAAAGTGGAAATTATGCCGAAAGTAAATTCAGAAAGTGGCCCAAATTGTACCTACCATCTTCTGGTTTGAGCCTGCCAAGAGATGGTAAGAAATTTAACTCACTGTAACCCTTGTGGTTGAGCTTTTGAACCAGAGGTGTCTGGGATTCAACCTGGGACCTTCTGCATGCAAACCTGCTGTTCTGCTACTAAGCCATAGTAAAGGTAAAGGTTCCCTTGCTCGAAAACCAGTCGAATCTGACTCTAGGGTTGCGGTGCTCATCTCCGTTTCAAAGCCGAAGAGCCAACGCTGTCCGAAGACGTTTCCATGGCCATGTGGCCGGCATGACTAAACACCGAGGCGCACGGAACGCTGTTCCCTTCCCACCGAAGCGGTACCTATTTATCTACTTGCAATGTCTTGCTTTTGAACTGCTAGGTTGGCAGGCGCTGGAACTAGAGACGGGAGCTCACTCCGTCATGTGGCACACTCGGGTCTCGAACTGCTGAACTACCGACCCATAATTGCTCCCTCCCACCCTTACACGTGTCAGGAGACGAGGTCCCTGCCTGAGCCTCAGCTGACAAGCCTACCATCAGAGAGGGGTTCCAGCTCAACCAACGAATCCATCAAGGGCATGGCGCCGCAGAAGGGTGAGATCAAGGGGCGGGCCCGAGGCCACCCCAGAGGAACAATGACAAGTCTCGACGAGCCACTGAAGGACAACGGGCCCAGGTGTTCCGAGACGGAGCGGGCACTCTGGCAATCCAACTCGCCAGAGGTGCACCTGCGGTGAAAGGAGGCCTTAGGGGCAGGGCGCGCGGAGGACAGCACCGCGGTCCTGACCACGTTACTGAAGGTTGGGTGGCCTGGGGAGGGGGCAGACAGCCCACGGGACCCATAGCGGATCTGTTATAGGCTGGAGAGAGTGCTGAAGGAAATAAAGAGGAGTGAAGTGCGTTGGACCGGGGAAGATGCGGTCAGACCGACGATGAAGGTGGGTGTGAGTGGTGAAACGGGCCAAGTCGGAGGGCGACACCCAGGACCCAAAGGTACTCCAGAGAGAAAAGGGGGGTAGACCCAATTTGAACCAAACACTCAACCCCAAACCCCAGTCTGATGGGGGAATCCTCCGCGGTGTAATGGAGAGAAAACCAAGCTGTCTGAGGTCTCAGGTACTTCGCAATTTCCTGATCCCCGCCCGGCCTGTGACGCCCCTGACTGGTGCTCGATTCATGATAACATGGTATGTGCCCACTTTATGGCTGTAGGGGACTTGTGTTGGATTCTGGTGGTTGAGTCCAAATTGGGTTCCAGACTCCACCTCTGGGTTGGCTCAGGTCTTCTTAGCAGGAAGTCAGCAAACCTGCTTATCACTCAGTGCTGTTGGGATGTTCAGGTGCTGTTCTTGGAGATACCCCTCCCTGATAAAAGCTATCATCTATCTTACTTTTGGGTTTTTTAAAAAGCTTCTGTTACATATCAGTTGCAGGGAAAACAGCAGAGCAGATGGCCCGTGGTTTGCTTTTGAAAGGGACTGATCATGATTAATGTTGGCAACAAGTTGGCACCCTTCTCCCACACTGGAGTAACCCGTTACGCAAGGATGTCTGGCAACTCTATACAGAAGAAGAAGAAATTGGATTTATACTCCACCCTTCACTCAGTCTCAGAGCGGCTTACAAACTCCTTTCCCTTCCCCTCCCCACAACAGACACCCTGGGAGGCAGGCCCGTAGCTAACGCGGGGCCTGTGGGGCCTGGCCCCCTAGCATTTCTTCTGGGCTCTCTCTCTCCTGGGCAAGTCCCAAATTGAATTAAGGTGATTAACTTTGATTTCATTAGCTGAGACCCCCCCAGGCCCCCTCCCCCCCAAATCCCTAGTTACGGGGCTGCTGGGAGGTAGGTGGGGCTGAGAGAACTCTGACAGAAACTGCTCTTTTTCAAGAACAGCTGTGCCAGAACTACGGCTTGCCCAAGGTCATCCAGCAGCTGCAAGTGGAGGATTGGGGAATCAAACCCAGTTCTCCCAGATTAGAGTCTGCGCACTTAACCACTACACCAAAGTTCTTTTCCTGATTCTCCCTGATAACAATTAGCACCCGCGGTTTGTGGCGTTTTACAATTAAAGAGCCAAACTATGTCAGAGCCAGGGTTCTACAGGCTAGTAGAAGAAAGCCTACTTGCATAAATGGAACCATGCAAATTAACATTAAATGGACATGTCGTTTCATAATCCATAAAGTTTCCGTGGCCCAAACACTGGTTGCTCTGGGTCCTTTATTAGGAAGTGGCACACAGGAGGTCACAGAGTGAGTCACGAATAGACACAGGAGCACCCATGTGATCATTTTAGAGCACTGGTATAAATCTGTGCATGGCTCATACTTGGATTCCTGGCAGTGCTTCATCTCTATCATTCCCCTTCCTGTAAAATATCTCTAAGAAGCCCTTTAGTCCCGCAAAAATATTTGACCACCATTATCCTAGCATCCCACCTACTCCTCCAGTAGAGCTTAACGTCAAGATTTGGCTTTCTTTTTTACGGGGCCAGATTTGTACTTCTGCAAGCAGCCACATCTGGCCCTAGAGGTTTTTAAATATATTGAATATGTAAACATATACTGCACTTCAAAAGAATGTAATGCACATCATAAAGTCACACAAACCACAGAATGATGATTCTTAAAGTAATACAGTCTAAAATAGTCCACAAGCACAAGCCCTCCTAAGGGCAATAACAGTCCATAGAGAAAATACGGTCCAATATACCCCCTAAGCACCCTCCAGTGTTCCCTCTAAGCTGAGTTAATGTGAGCTAGCTCACAGTTTTTTAGCCTCCGGCTCACACATTTTTGTCTCAGCTCAGGAAGGATGGCTCCAGAGCAAACTAATTTATCCAGTAGCCAAATTGCTCACTCACAACTTTGATGCCAGTAGCTCACAAGGTAGAATTTTTGCTCACAAGGCTCCACAGCTTAGAGGGAACATTACAATATCATATGTAATATAATATGACTGTTGATATGTAATAAAACTATTTTGAAGACAATCCTTCATCAAAAGGTATGGTGAGTCAAGAAAGGTAAAACGACCATGCACAAATCAAAATGCTATTTTGTATTAAGTGGAGTCCAAGGCCTTTTAGCAAACCCACAACCCAATGGTATCAAATCTAGCAGGCAAAAAGACTCTACATCTGGCTCTGGGGCCACAGCATCCTGACCTCTGCTCTAGTCAAATATGACGTGACATGATGCCATTCTCTTCCCATCCCCTCCTCCCATTCATTGGCTGCCACGGGAAAGGAGGGACATTCCAGGATCCCTAGAGCCAAGGTCCACCGGTTTCCTAGGCACAAGTCCAAAGACCTCCAAAGGAAGTTTAGAAAACTAGTAAAGGGCCAGAAATTAAAAACATCTATAGGTATAAACAAAACGACATGTGTTTATTTCAAAAACATATAAAAACCTTGTTGGGGCCCAAATAAAGCCTCATAAAACAAAGTGACAAATGCACAAAAAGAATTGCATATGACCTGATGCATTTCAGCCCACAAGAGCCTTCTTCAGAGGTCAAATAGTAAAGAATGCAACATGCAACAAAACCCTCATAACACTTGTAAGGCAGTAAACAATTGATATAGGACCCAAAAATGGAATGTTTCAATATGGAATTGAATTACACACAAAAAAATAATTGTTTGTGGGGCCACGAATGTATCTGGCCTTGTGTCAGAAGCAATTACATATATTGGAGATAGTAATATTGCCAATATGTCCCTTCCAGTTTAGGTCCTAAGAGTACAAGTACAATCACCTTATCAGGGCCAATGTGACATCCTAGCATCCCACCTACCTCCTCCAACATACCATTCGAGTCCAGCAGCACCTTAAAGGCCAACAAGATTCCCAGGGTATAAGCTTTCAAGAGGCAAAGGTATCTGCCCTGACCCGAATAGCCCAGGCTAGCCGGATCCCATCAGATCTCAGAAGCTAAGCAGGGTTGGCCTTGGCTACTATTTGGAAGGGTGACCTCCAAGGAGTACCAGGGTCATGACACAGCGGCAGGCAATGGCCGACCACCTCTGAAACATCTCTTGCCTCAAAAACAAGTCTAGCACACCACCTTAATGGTGCATAACACTAAAAGAGCTAGAACTTTTGACTGCCAGACTAACTTAGGATCTCCCGGCTATTCAACACACAGTGTTACACAATAATAATAACAATCTGACAAAAGGAGTTTTGACTCTCAGAAGCATATACCGTGGAAGTCTTGTTGGTCTTTGAGGAGCTCCTGGACTTCAAGCTTGCTCTTCTCCTGCAGACCAGTACAGCTACCCAATTGAAACTGTGGGAGAGGACGGTCAGTGAAAGATCTGAGAGTGAAGAAGAGTCTTTTATGAGCTGGAGATACCATCACCACAACCTCTCTGAACTTCAGTTTTTTGACTGCATCACATTTGTATCCGTTACAAATTATTATAAATTATTATAAACGCTTTAGATTGTGAGCATTGGGGGGGAACTGTTATAAGGCGCTCTGCACCCACAGAATAAAGTGGGATATAAATGAAACATGGAGAGGATGAAAAACTCTGAGCACAAAGGTACCATGTACCACATTTTTTAAATACACAATACCTAGAAAGTGTGGAGAAGAGAGGGATGTGCGGGGTGGTACTTGGATGGGGGACCCGGACCGGGAAGACGTTGCAGAAGAAGGCCAAACTGCCTTCTGCTTCTCACTTGCCTTGAAAGCCCCTTGCTGCGCTCACCATAAGTCACTTGCAATGTTCCCTCTAAGCTTTGGAGCCTTGTGAGCAACAATTCAACTTTGTGAGCGACTGGCATTAAAGTTGTGAGCGAGTGATTCGGCTACTGCATAAATTAGCTTGCTCTGGAGCCATCCTTCCTGAGCCGAAGGCAAAAAATGTGTGAGCTGGAGGCTAAAAAACTGTGAACTGGCTCACACCAACTCAGCTTAGAGGGAACACTGGTCACTTGCTACTTGATGGCATATATGTATATATATTCGGGGAGAAGACATGGGGAGCAATCCCAAGCAAGTCTATTCAGACGTAAGTACCATTTTATTCAGTGGGGCTTACGCCCGAGAAAATATCCTTGAGGACTACAGTCGGGGTATTTCTTGGTGGGAGCCACATCTGTCTCGTGCCAGCCAGAAGCCAATGAGAACTTCACAGATGCCTCGGGTGGCGCCTGTCAGTTCTAGGAAGCAGAGTGTTCCAGATCTGTCTCGTCTAATAATAGCATTTGGTATTATTCAATAACTAGGCGACGGTACAAAAGTTAAATTTGCACAAACTAGCTTGGGCAATCAGAATGGGCTGTACTCCAATGAAAAGAGCACACAAGTTTCTCTTCTTCTTTTAATATGATTCTTTCCAACATTGTGCTTGGACAACCCAGTTTCTACAAAATGGAATCTACTAGAATATTCATGCAACTTCTGAAATATGCATGCTTTTATTTCTGAATATCATTTTGTTACACCAATAAATGTGTTAATGGGAGACAAAATATGAAAGGCAAGATGATGATGATGATGTGATGGTAATGATGATGATAAGAAAACAATATTATCATAGAAATGAGAAGCAATTCTACAATACAAGTGCTTAAGTGTTTGCAAAATTCGATCTCTCGTTTTTTCGCCTTCCCTCCAGAAATCTTACCATGTCAGTTCATTTTGACATTTTAGCAACATGCCAAGGCTTTATTTATAATATTTACTTAAATTGTTGGGTTTTTTCCTTTATGTCTATTA